GTACTGAACAGTATTTAAAGTCCCAAAAACACTGTTAAAATTATTGACAAAGTATGAAATGAACATATTGTTTGGCGGTCAAAGGTCAAACGTCCATTTAGCTCTGATTCAACATATTTTTATCCAATAATTTTACTCGGATGTACTGAACAGTATGTGAGGTCCCAAAAACACTGTTAAAATTAATGACAAAGTATAGAAATAATGTGTGGGGGTCAAAGGTCAAACGTCCATTTTGCTCTGATTCAACATATTTTTATCTAATTATTTTAATCGGATGTACTGAACAGTATTCAAAGTCCCAAAAACTGTTAAAATTAATGACAAAGTATGAACATATTGTTTGAGGGTCAAAGGTCAAACGTTCATTTTAACCTGTTTCATCGTATTTTTTATCCAATTATTTTACTGGGATGTACTGAACAGTATTTAAAGTCCCCAGAACACTGTTAAAATTATTGACAAAGTATGAACATATTGTTTGGGGGTCAAAGGTCAAACGTTCATTTTGCTCTGATTCAACATATTTTTATTCAATAATTTTACTCGGATGTACTGAACAGTATTTGAAGTCCCAAAACATTCTCAAAATTGATCCCAAAGTATAGAAATATTGTGTGGGGGCCAAAGGTCAAACGTCCATTTTGCTCTGATTCAACATATTTTTATCCAACAATATTACTCGGATGTACTGAACAGTATTTGAGGTCCCAAAAACACTGTTAAAATTAGTGACAAAGTATAGAAATAATGTGTGGGGGTCAAAGGTCAAACGTCCATTTTGCTCTGATTCAACATATTTTTATCTAACTATTTTACTCGGATGTACTGAACAGTATTCAAAGTCCCAAAAACACTTTTAAATTTAATGACAAAGTATAGACATAATCTTTGGGGGTCGAAGGTCAAACGTTAATTTTGCTCTGATTCAATGTATTTTTTATCCAATTATTTTTTTTCGGATGTACTGAACAGTATTTAAAGTCCCAAAAACACTGTTAAAATTAATGACAAAGTATGGACATAAGGTTTGGGGATCAAAGGTCAAACGTCCATTTTGCTCTGATTAAACATATTTTTATTCAATAATTTTACTCGGATGTACTGAACAGTATTTAAAGTCCCCAAAACACTGTTAAAATTAATAACAAAGTATGGACATAATGTTTGGGGGTCAAAGGTCAAACATTCATTTTGCTCTGATTCAACGTATTTTTATCCAATAATATTACTCGGACGTACTGAACAGTATTTAAAGTCCCAAAAACACTGTTAAAATTATTGACAAAGTATGAAATGAACATATTGTTTGGCGGTCAAACGTCCATTTAGCTCTGATTCAACATATTTTTATCCAATAATTTTACTCCGATGTACTGAACAGTATTTGATGTCCCAAAAATACTGTTAAAATTAATAACAAAGTATGGACATATTGTTTGGGGGTCAAAGGTCAAACGTCCATTTTGCTCTGATTCAACATATTTTTATCCAATAATTTTACCCGGATGTACTGAACAGTATTTGAGGTCCCAAAATTACTGTTAAAATTAATAACAAAGTATGGACATATTGTTTGGGAGTCAAAGGTCAAACGTCCATTTTGCTCTGATTCAACATATTTTCATCCAATAATTTTACTCGGATGTACTGAACAGTATTTGAGGTCCCAAAAATACTGTTAAAATTAATAACAAAGTATGGACATATTGTTTGGGGGTCAAAGGTCAAACGTCCATTCTGCTCTGATTCAACATATTTTTATCCAATAATTTTACTCGGATGTACTGAACAGTATTTGAGGTCCCAAAATTACTGTTAAAATTAATAACAAAGTATGGACATATTGTTTGGGGGTCAATGTCAAACGTCCATTCTGCTCAAAGGCATAAGACGACGCAACGCTTCATGGACGCCATTTTGAGGCAATTTTACTCTGCCCTATATCAGGCGCAAAAATGTTTAGACCACGCCCATTAAAAAAAGATGTGATATCAAATAGCCGTATATGAATGAGGTCATAAAATAGCTTCGGGGGTCATATATCCGGGGAGGCCATTTAAATAGTGATTGGAACCATATGTTCATCCCTGACCTACTGTCTGTATGGCAGCCTAATAGCCCTGTATAAGGGATGTCATTTAAATGGGAATTGAAACCATATATCCATCCCGAACCTGCTGTCTATATGACACTACCTTAATAGTCCTGTGTGGAGGAGGACATTCAAATAGCATTTGGGGCCATATATCCATCTCTTTCCCTAACCTACTGTCTGTATGGCAGCTCAATAGCCCTAAATGGAGGAGGCCGTTTGAATGGGGATTGACCGTAGGCTTGCACGTAATCGACCAAAATCGATTCTTTATTTACGGCAAAATCACTGACGTAATGACCCCGTGATTGTGGTAGTTTTACTCGGATTGAGCTAATACTCGGCGAACAAAATGAAGCGGACGAATGGTTATACCAATTGATAACAACAAAGAGCGAACAAGCAGCATTGTGCTGAAATAAAGAGCTATTATTTGCAAAGACGAAAACAGCTAAAAGTGTAAATTATTTTGACTTTGACTGAATCCGCTCGTTTTTCATACGTCAACGTTCATGACGTCAACAAAGAGCATTGATAATTTATTGCGTATATCCTGACACTTCATGTCTGATCACGAATCTAAGCGAGACGCGCGTTGGCTAATACGCTCCAATGAAAGGGCAGAATAACAATAATAATAAATCGGCCACTTTTGGAAAATTTAGTCTTGGCAACATTGTAATGAGAAAATCATGACTATTCATTGATAATCGTATTGCAATCAGTAGCGCAGCAGCTGGTTTCGGGTTCTGAAAACCGACTTTCAAAAAATTTTTTGTAGGTCGAAAATGTAGCTAATGACACTGCTATTCCCGCTAGTTTTGTTGAAATCGCTGAGTTGGGGAGGTTTTAAAAAATGGGAAATAAAAATTACTGTATAACTGTATAACGGCTCCAAAAAATGGACCGCGGTTATTCCACTCGGTAAAAAAGCCTTTCAAATAAAAAATTTCAGCGGATAATGTTTCTTTGTTTTATGAAATGTTCAATCCATGTGCGATGCCAGCATTTAAAATGTCTTGTCATATTCATTCTATTGAGTTCACCGGATTCCGCCTTTTTGTCGACTTAGCTGGAAAATGTAATCACTACTATAAATGACCACGGTAATCTGCGGACATAAAGTACTCATAAACTACCCAATTATTAATAGATAGGATTCGGATTTTTGCGACCTAGAAATTTGTCAACTTTAAGCTATTCTTTTCAGCACTGATTGCCACTTGAGATTATTTTTAAGATATCCCGTTGGAAAAATCTCAAGATATGCTTTAAAATCCAGAGTACAATTCGCAATTGCGCAAATTATTTAATCCATGACCCATCCATTTAATCCACATACTGGCATATTTAAAATATTATGCTTTATTAATTTGATTGTGTTTAATGTAACCTGCCTATACGTTTTCGAAAAATGTAAAAAGAATTACTACTCCAAAATGCCGCGTCCATGAAAATGTGCAGCAATGTGTCCGATTATATTATCTTGTTTCCATTCGTATTTTCCAATAAACGCTTTAGCGTCAAAGACAACCCAACATAATGTGAGTCTTAGGCAAACAAAATTTTGTGATTGACAACATCTAAAAAGCATTTTGTCGCGAGCATCCTAAAACGAAATTTATGGTGTTTCCCTTTGTTTTGTTTTTAATATTTTACAATGCCGCTTTTTGATCAAAATATTTGGGTGGTAGGTTCACTCCTTTATTATCTCCAGCATCTTGTAGCCGATGATGATAATATAATGACTCGTTTTTTACAACAATCTCACAATTTCTTTGGGAGAACCGGAAAGTAATTATTGTCGTATTTGTGGAATTCGTGATTTAGAGGAAATAAATACCAGCGTGTGGGTGTTTACGGCTTAATTAAGTAGCACATCGCGCAGACGAAAACAATCTGCGATTTGAAGAAAATGCAATAACGCGCGTTATTAGCGATTTTTTTAGTCATTTAAAAAAGTCAAAATGGTAGGTGGGTCCCGACTTTCTTGTTATAAGTCGACGCAGTCGCGACTTACATTGAAGCAATTAAATTAATATAGCAAGCTATTTTGAATGCTTTCATCCATCATGGATGTATATTTTACGCAACAATTGTCTCGGCGATCGGCTCTCTTAACGAGTGGCTTAAACGAAATGGTCCCGACCTGTTTGTTATAAGTCGACGCAAACGCGAGTTCCGTTGAAGCATTTAAATTAATATAGCAAGATGTTTTAAATTCTCGCACCCATCATGGATTAACATTCCGCGAAACAAATGTCTCGGTGTTAGGCTCTTTTAACAAGTGACTTAACAATATGACTGTTCCAGAAGCCCCTAATTGCAAACTCGCGATTCCGACGCGATGATTTGAAGTAATGAATGGGCAGCACATGACGGGAGTAAACTTTTGTGAGACTTGACGTAATTCTGAATTTGCCGCCGACATAACGAAAATCGAATTCAGTAACCGAATCCAGTCAAATAGCGATTGGGATTATATATCAATCCATATCCCTAACCTGCTGTCCATATGGCTGCCCAATAGCCATGTACGGAGAAGGTCATTCAAATGGTGATTGGGGTTATACATCCATCCCTATCGCAACCGTATTTGTTCTTACTGCCAGCGCACATATTTGATGCCGGCCTCTTTCCTGTGGTTGCCCGTAATTTGCCCAGAGAAACGTACACTTTATTTCTGAGTGAGTTCGCGTGATCTTTCTTAAAGCCAATAAGATGACGTATGATCAAACTACTGAAGAGCTCAAAATCATATTATTGTAAAAAACTACAAAAAACCATTATCTTTAATAAAATGAATAAAAGGTATCAATTAAAACTGTAGAAATAAATTTCCTCCCCAATAACTGTTTCATGAATATTTGACTTCTAACTCTTTTGAATGTCATTTTTATTTCAGAATGTGGCGTTGTCTATAATTCCAGTTGTATTCGAGCGATCGTTTATGATGTGAAGAACGTCACATTCAGCGTCGCTGAATCTATTTGCGAAAACAAACTGGCTAACATTTATGACGTCACACACTACAACCTGGTTCGAGATTATTTGCGTTCAATGATTCCCGATGGATTGTCAGGGTTTCATATTCATACGGGAATGACTTACAACCACTCGGTAGGTCAAGTCTGAATCATGTTGCTTATGCGGCCATACTTGAACTCAATATAAAATGTGGCCGATATTGTTTCCGCATTACCATGCGCTATTGCATTTTATCTTGAGGTCAAACCCATATAGCTTTAGCATACGCGAGAAGTTCAAATCGAGATATTCATAACACTGATTACTCCAGGCTGATATCAAATTTGACTTTCCTATCGTTTGCTAGCGTTTTCCAGTTTATATCAAAAAATTCAATCCCAAACTTTCATGTAATGTTTCCGGGTAATTCAACAATTTGACTCCAACACCAGTGGAACGCTTCAACTTTACAGCACTGATACTATATCAGAGAAGACTAATCCAGATTAATTTAATTTATCTGTCTACTATATTCAATTCTCACCCATCAACACTAATCACTGAAGTGTGACTGAGCAGAATAATCATGTGGTGGTGTCACGCTTCATTATTATTTTTTACAGGAGACCAGATAAGTTTGTTTTGCTCTGTCAGATCATATGACAAAGATTACTGGTTCAACCATACTCAACTATATTACCAAACTGCCATTTGTTATATTTCTCAAAACATATTCTATATTTCACAGAACGGTCAGCTGTATTCAACGACGGGCCAAGTTATGTCTCTTCCAACTGAGTTTTGGTCTCCCGATACTCCGTATTCCTATGCACCGTACACAGGTGTTGGTATTGTTGTCAATCGAAACCCGAAAGACGAAAGTCAAGGGATTTTTAATTATCCTTCCTGGGGCCTATATCACGGAGTCATCTGTGAAAATGAATCATAACTCTGTCAATTGAATGACCCATAAACAAAAACTGTAAATTTACCCCTGAGTTGAGAGTAATTGTAATCATGCAGCTTAAATAAAATTCTATATTACAATCACCCCGGTTGCATCTTCGTACGCGATAAATGACACGTAAATGGGATGTAGGGTACCTACCAATCAAGATTTGAAATTTAATTGAAAAGAGACGAACCAATGAATCGGTGACCATGTTCTCTTATTTACTCCACACAATCAATTCCAGAAGAATTTCTTTTGTTTTTGCTATTGCGACCCTTTTACTGACAAATCCCTTTCCAGAAGGTCGTCACTCGATTAAAAGCTCTTTAAGTAAAAGCTGTGTAATTGTTAGTTGTTCTTGAATAAACTAATTTTCACATAGTTTTCACATTTATTTCGATAAGTCCAAGAGCTCATATTGTCGATGATATCTTTTTAATGATTTATATTTCGATGGATATATTTCTCCCAGATTGAATAAATCTAATAATTAGAAGTTTTTCTTTTACAAATATAAGGTTGATTTACCAAACTTTCGAGTCTTGAGTTTTCATATGTTTTTTTATATTTTAATTCGACATATTTTTCGATTTTCATTAAATTAAAGTTTCGTTGTGACCTGAAGGAAATATAAGAAATCCAAGAAGTTATCAGAATCATCTACAGCATTGTCTTCTCTTTACAATGAAAAAGTTATATTATTCACACCTTTGTTTACAATTTATTTTTCTTGTTTGTGCATTATAAAGATTGATGTTTTTTTATGATATTTGCTCTAGTATTTTATGTTTGAATTGTTGTGAATCACGCCATCAAATTTGATATTTTACAAAAAAATAAAATCCTTTTATTCAATAGGCAAAAAGTTGACAATAATTCGAAATTTCAGTGTCACTTGAAGAAAATAGAAGGAAATGTTAGAAATTTATCAAAATCAATTACAGCATTGTCTCCTCTTTAAAAAAAGCAAGTTTTATAATTTGTATGCAACTACCCCCCTCTCGGGCACACAAATCATGGCAAGAAAATTCATTTTTTTTTTGCTTTTCATTTTTGTTGTGTGGAAATAGGTGTGATATACAATTTTTGGTAATCCAGAAGTATGTGCACCAAGATGCCATAATTTCAGGTAAATCCATACAACTAAAATAAGGAAAATTGGAATAAAATTATGGCCTAACCTTAACCTGGTACACGTACTACGTTCCGGTGTCCGCCATCTTGGTTCACATACTTCTGGAGCGCCCAATTTTTTCACTAACTTTGCTTCGGTATTTTATTTTTAGATGTGTTTCAGAATCATTTTTCGGCAAAATATTTTGTCAGTAAAAGTTCAAATTATTTTCCACGAAATGAATTTAATAAATGAAAGTCATGAAAATAATTATAACTTTCAGTGCAGAAATATTATTTGCTACTTTTGTCTTGCAAAACGTAAAAAATTTAATAATAATTTATTTATTTAACACAATTTTGTCAATTTAACGGCGCACTTAGCAACTCGCCGCGGCGAACTTTTTGGGAACCGTTGGCCTAGGCCAGGGGTGAGCAATCCCTGGCACGCGTGCCAAACTTGGCACGCGAGCCCATTTATTCGGCACGCGAGCGAGGCCTCAGAAACGAGATCATTCTCTTTCAGATAAAAAGTTTCGAGGCTCTGATTTATCTGATGAAGCTCGGTGATTGTTTGTTTATTCATTATCGTTTGTTAACAATCTGTTATTCATTGAAAATTTTAAACTCTTTTTGTCTTTTCATGACATATGGCTACAAAGAAATATATTATGACGTAACAACTGTGTTAGCTCTTGACGAATTGTGACGAAACACAGCATTCATTGGGTGGTTCATTTTTATGTAATATATAAGCTGTGCCACCATTTTTTTAATTCTGATTGATTTATGAAGTTGTACAGCTCATGTTGGTTAGAGTTACTTGCTAACTTACTGAAATAAATTGATTTCGAAAGAAATATAAGAGAGAAGTGCAGAAAACGAACTATCGCATGATTGGGAAGCCATTCCCGAGAATTTTTCGTGTCTCAAAAACTTTGCAACTGCATGCTTTTCATCTACATATGCTTGTGACTTTCTGTTCTCAGTAATGAACTTTATTAAGTCTCATAACAGGAGTAGCATGAAAGATGAAACCAGTAGTTCGTAACTTTCTTTCAATCTAAATCTCTATCAACGGTAATGCAGTAGCAGAAGTCTCACTTATATAGAATAAGAAAAGTAATCAAATTTATTTGTCGGACTGATATTTTCCCGAATAGTGAATCTGTCTGTAGCTTACATGTTTAGAAGGTTTATTATTGTGTATTTTTGCTTTAAAAGTAACAAAGCATTGTTTTTAATTTTGGTCGGCACGCGGAAGAATTTTGTCGTTAAATTTAGCCGATTTAGGCACGCGAGCCGAAAAAGGTTGCCCACCCCTGGCCTAGGGGTTACCACGCTCGACCTAACTACCGCGTTTCCCGGAATATAAGACATAGCCTGAAAATGATACCTATAAATTAAATATAACTTTCCCTTGAAATAACCTTGTCGATAGCAAGAAATCCTATTTTAACTTAGTCCATGGCAAGAAATGTCTTCTACACGTTTTAAATACCGTAATTATTAATAATCTATGTTTGGAAGTTGTTTTAAATAAAAACGTGATATTTATGAGTAACTGTATGTCGGTTTTAATATTTTGTATATTTAAAAATCTTGTAATTCCTTACGTAGTAATTTTGTTTTTGATAAATGAAAATAAAAGACATACCCCCAAAATAAGCCCTAGTGTTATTGTCGCATTATAAAGAGTCGCAGTTAGCCATCAAGCATTATACTGAATTAAGCTATTTACGAGCAATCGTCTATTGAGTTTACCGCCAAATTCGATTTACAGCAGAACAGTAACAAACCCGTATGACGCACAACCGCAGATTAAAATGATCACAATTTAATTATAATTAAAGCAAGGCGATGAATATTTTTTATTTTTATTTACTAATATACTAATTATATATTTAGTAATTAGCCTACTAAATCAAGTTGTACAACGGCGATAACAAATTCGCAAGATCGCAAATAATTGATAACAAAACTAAATATAACCGGGCAAAACCGGCAATATATTCTCACATTATCATGTTCGCAGATTGCCGCGGCATTTAAAATAAGTAATGCTTTCATCTTGTCAACGCAACCGCGAGTGACCATGAACACAATTAAATTAAAATAAGAACACATTTTAAATTCTTGTCGGTAAGATTCAGCTTCTGTTAGGAGTAGTAGCTTTTCACATATCAGTGACAGCCCGTACAAGGCCTAGGTATCTTTTGTACAAAGCCGCGGCCAACGCTCCAAATAAAAATATTAGTAATTATTCAGTTAAGATTGGGAATGTAGATTGTGCTGGAAATTCAAATCATTCCGAACCCCAACTGGATACTTACTAATTTATTATGTCATAACGGGATGGGGGTGTTCACTCGAATCTACGCTTCAATGTGGTGGTTTTGGCGGCTTTGTACGAAAAATCCAGATTTGATTGAAAGGAGAGAATAAGCGTCGTATAAAATTGCCACTTACAAACTTGATCACTTGTGGTGTATATGCCAGGCTTTGTACTTTGTCTAACACATTGATAGAACCATTGTGGAGTTCATGGCCCATCTCATTACCCAGGGTGAAATAAATTTGGTAGAACAAAAAATTTTCATGTACCTTCCAAAGATTATGGCTTCTTACATATTTTTAAATATCAGTGTCTGGTTGTCCGGAGTCTTGTTCGAAGCAAAAGTCTTGAACGCGTAAAAACGGCAAAAATGCATGGAATTTCGATTCATTCGGAAAAAAAAACAAATTCAACTGTTCATCGAAACAAGCATTTATTCAAGTAAATTCAATCGCTTAACATGATTCACGCGATATATATAATGTACATGATAACACACAACAGAATTACTTGAATTTGTCAATCATGATTCTTAAGAAAAACTAGATAAACAATCATTTCTGTGGTTGCATCGGAAACTACTGCATAAGTTAACGATAGTACAAGCGTAATAGAAATTGGGAATAGTCGATACCAAATATATTCCCAATTTTTAAATTTCCAATTTTAAGTTGAATTTTGAATAAACTATTTCTGTGGTTGGATCATAAATAAGTCAACGGTAGCACGAGTGCCATAGATATAAAAACTGTGCTTGAAAATGCTATGTAAATTTACATAAGATTTTGAATATCTTTCTAGTTCAGCGCGCACTTGTTTTGTAAACTGACATATTTGAAGTTGGCCTAGACAAGTGACCGACAAACATTATGTACTGCTGGGCCATTTACACACATTTCCGGTATCGTGCGGGCCTCATTTATTTCCCACATATTGTATACACCATTGATTCTCAAATTAAAAATAGAAAATACTTGTTAGATTTCATCTTTCCCGCCTTATTTTGGATATTTATTCCACATATTTTCAACGTCTTTTTTGACCAAAAGATACTTTTATCTTACTATCTGATATTTGAAGCATATTGTTAACTAGCAATTTTTGAAGTGGGGCGCGATACTTGACAAATTCCAAAAGTTTGAGAACCACTGGTATAACGCAATCGCAACATCAAACGTCAAAATACGATGCAACCAAAACTCCTATTGTGGACTTAACACATCGGTTTGAATGATTGTACCCATTTTGCACAAAAGTTATGTTCTCAATAGAATATGTTCCAAATCATCAGGGTTCTGTTTTTCTTGTGAGTCACGCAGTATAAATGAAAACAACGAATGAACACCTAAGTGGTTAATACAATCACATATACTTACAATAGCACACATACAGTATATAGTGAAGATAAAATATATACATAATGAATATTGACAACGAAATAAACACAAAAGATAGGGTGTTTTAATCGCCGGAGATGGCTCAATATGTAGTTCACGTCTATTGAGCAATGGGAGTGTTGCCACAGGGGGGCGGGCAACAAATGGGTCGCAAATAATACAGCAATTTGACACAAATATTCATTTTACTTTTTTTTTTTACTTTTGCTTAGAATGACACAGTTATTCAAACCAGTGCGAAACAGAAATCTGTATCGATTTTGGGAGAATACATGAAACCAGAGAAACGGCGCGCTTGCATTACAATGCCGATTTAACAGGGTTACTGAAAATGTTAATATATTGGAAGGGATGCGAGTTTAAAAGAATATTTTTCTATGCGATTCCGCATTGCCTCCGTAACGAAACGTGTTGCCTTTTTCTCTTTGATTTCCCAAGCACTGATAATAATATGAACTTGTTTGCCAGCCCCAGTGATACCATATAATAAATGGCGTCTGTTTCAATGTCAAGCAATTACAAAATAAAAGCAAACTATACAAATCATATTGGGCCATGCAATCTGCTATTTTCATATGAGTCGATAGCTATAAGCGCAGTTTTCTTGCTTTGTGGGAAATAAAAGTCATATTAAAATGATTGTTCTTAGTCATTTAATTTTGCGGCCATAAAAGCATCACACATCGTTCAGTATGTGAATATATCCTTGGATCGTGAGATTTTAAAATTCTTTTTTAATTTAGAGTCGCCTGAAAATTTGGAAACGCTGACATAGAGTACACATGATAGATTTACCATATTTATCCCCAGTGAGGGCTTAATCAAGGCTAAGCCGATAAGAAGGGGTAATCATATGGAGAAGTTACCAGGCAATGTCGGGTTTTTAGATTAGTCAGACAGATCGAGGAAATATCAGTATCTACTATCAGTATCTACTAGTAAGTAGCGACGAGATATTCTGAAATACAAAAGAGTTATTCACAATGAGGACAGGAGTTGGACAATACACGCTGATAATAGGAGCAAGGGCGCCGATTGTTTATCTGTGTTACGATCGTTCGAGGCGTAAGTAAGGTTTAAGATACCTTCAATAATTACTAGCGCGAGAAACTGTGGGAATGCCCGCGACGAAGTAAATAGTATATCCCGTCTAATTATCTTAGCTTAACGAATTTCATTTGAAATTTTAATAAATGCACGTTAGTTGTAGATGGCCATTCAGTGTATTTCTACCTACGCTTGTGAATATAGCAGAACTAAGTTAGCAAAATAGTATAATTTGTCGATGTATCGAGTTTCTATGCATAAAAATTTCATTAGAGCATACATTTTATGGTATAAACCGTTATTATTTATAGATTTTATTCGATAAGTATGTTGATAGGTATTTGTCTGTCTGTCTGTTAGATGCACGCGATATCTCACGAACGCAAGATTGAATCTGCAGATTTTGCATGTGCATTCATCAAATGGAACCAGAAGCCTATTGGTTTTGGATGAATTATGTTGTATAATTAGCGAGTTATTAATTAATTAGTGATGGGACACAAAGTGTCACTATGGAGTAAGAGCGCTGTTTTGGGGATCCCCTAACTTTCGATCGATAAGTCTTCGGTCTCTGACCGATATTCTCGTTTATATATTAGATAATTCAGGAGTTTGTTTGCACTTTCGCCGAATTGTTTAGAGCTAGTATATCATGGTATCGTATTTTTTGATTAGATTTAACGTCTTGATAATATTTCTCATTATATATGTATATATAAATATACGCTAGTGTCTTCACCATATCATATCCCGGTGAAGTTTTTGCGTTTTGCATAAAAATTCGAAAACCGGCAAATTACATCGTTTCGCTAACATCGGTTGTCCTTTATTTATTCTCACCATCCACTTATTTATCAACTAAGAAGCTAATCATGAGCGAAAGTGGAGTAACTAGACAATCAGTCGCGAATGAAATAGTGTAAATAACGAATCTCTGAAAAATAAATGTTTTTTTGAGGGTATTCCGAGCAACATCCTGAGTTATCAAGGCTTAAATTTTTTAGGTATATAATGACAGTCCAGTACATATTGCAGTAAAGATAAACAAACAAACAATATTCATAAAATGTGATCGGAAGGGGCGGACAAGACATCAAGGTCAACCCCCTTCTTGTCAACTGACTCTTCGCGGTCTCTCCTTATTTTTTTTTTTTTTTTTTCATGGCGGATCAGAAATTTTCCAGACTCGGATCAGTGTCTTGAAAACACGTCATATCCGAGTTTTATCGGTCAATCGCTTCATAAGCATGCTACTGCATGCAGTAGTCAGACACTTCCGGGGGCCTCAGAATGCGCCGCGCATCAGCAAAGCACAGATTTCCACCACAGGCCTCTACGTATGCAATGCATACGCTTAAACCTGGGGCTTCCGTCCATGCCATGCAGGGCAGGGCACAACTTCGGCCACCCCGGCTTCCGTACATACCGCGTATAACGCAGCATGACATCCGCCGAGAAGCTCCCGATTCATCATTTCCGCTGTATCGGATGGTATTATCGGGTTTAAAAACAACGTTCGTCGAGCAGTTTTGAATTTTGGTTTGGTCTACCATTTATGGTGGCTGATTACAAATTTCCAAGTTTTATTTTGCTAGACCGTCAGATAGCCGTTTAGTATTTCCTTCCAGTTACTCCTTAGTCCTAAAGTTTGCACGTCATTGAATTTATGTTCTATCATTATGAAGAATTCCATGATTTGGGTTACAGTTTTGGGTATGATGTTATTGTCCGTGGGGGTCAGATATCGATCCAGGGTGTCTAGTTGTAGTTTTAATTTAATTACGTTCTTTTTCAGTAAAACAAAGGCTTTGGTCACAGCAATTTGATATGGGCCATTGTATCCATTGTAAAGAATCTGTTCTTTATTTATTATAATTTGGGTGTCCAGTATGGCATTGAGGCAATTTAATATTTCTGTAATATAGTTACCTGTTGTTTTACAATTGAGAAAGATGTGCTTAGTGTTGTCCGATTTGTCCTTGCAAAACTTACAGTTTAGAATTTTCAGCCTGCCCGATGGATGGAAACGGATGTTCATCCCCCGCTTCTTGTCCCCAAAGATGTAGCCATCTCGGGCGATTCGATAAGACGAGACCCGTTCCGCGTTGGAAAATTTCAGGCGGAGGTTGTTAGTTAAAAGGTGTACGTCGGTCCAGTCGATAAGTTGTTGTTGTAGTTGTTGTTGTTGTTGTTGCTGTACCAGGTTATGATTTTTAAGTTTCAGGTATATATTTTTGTGTTTGGCCGAATCCCATGTATCTCTTGAAAAATTCAGGTTATTATATATGGAGAAAATGTATGCCCAATATTGTGGTATTATCATACTGTGAGGCATAGAGTTATTGTATAGATCTTTGTTAATAAGTTTCATTTTCGATCCTAAAGAATAGAGGCATTCATAATGCCAAAATTGGTTTGGGATTTGACCGGTAGCAAAACACTTCATCTTTTCGACCTGGCACGCTTCCACCTTCGACTTTACGTCCACCATTGCTATTCCGCCATCCGCCCATGGTTGTTTTAAGGTTCTTCTTCCTATGGCTTCTATCCTCTCAGGATACCATAGGTATTTGAATACCTCACTCTCCGCACGTCTCATGGTTTTCAAAGAGATTGTTTTGACTCTTGCGTGGAACGTAATTATGGACATTATCAGCGAGTTTATAGCAATTTGTTTGCCATGCCAAGTTAAAAGTCTAGGTTTTAAAGAGTTTAGGGTCCGAATTAATAAAGTTATGATTTCGTCCCACATTTTTACTGGTTTCCTATGTCCAAATTGTATGCCCAAAATTTTGACGTTTTCTTTTATATATTGGCTATACGGAGATTTTGTGATTAGGTTATGTGCCGAATTGGTGATACAGAGTATTTCAGTTTTGTCCTGGTTAATTTTTTGTCCTGAGGCCAAATGAAATTTGTCGAGTTCCCGAAATATTTCCTGTATTGAGGTCTGGTCTCTTACAGCAAAGGTGATATCGTCGGCATACTGATCTAATTTGTGCTCATGACGGCCTAATTTTATTCCATGGATGTTTGTATTTCGAAGCACGGATCTTGCAAAGGGCTCAACAACAATAGCGTAGAGCAACATACTCAGGGGACAGCCCTGTTTTATGCCGCTGCAGATGGTAATTTTTCTCGTCAGCCGACCATTAACGTCAATGCGACTTTTTATATTCGAGTACATACTTTGGATGATGTTAAGAGTCTTGCGACCAAGTCTAATGTGTTGCAAGACATTGAAGAGGAATTGATGGTCAACCTTATCGAAGGCTTTCAGGTTGTCAATTAATATTATTGTTCCGGGGGTGTTCTTTATTTTGCAGTGCCGAATTATTGCATCTATATTATAGTGAATGTCATACATGCTTCTGTTAGGAAGAGAGCATTTTTGGGTCGGAGTGATTATGCGGTCCATGATGGGTGTGAGTCTTTTTATTAAGATTTTAGAAATAATTTTATAGTCCATATTGAGGGTCGTGATTGGTCTCCAGTTTTTAAGGTTTGATTGGTCATTTTTTTTATATAATAATTTTACTTTTGCAATTTTGGAAGATTTTGGAAAGTGGCCGAAACTAAAAATGTTATTAATGAGCTGTGTAAATTGGCGTTTGATTAAGTCCCAGAAAGTAACATAAAACTCCTTTGATAATCCATCCATACCGGGTGATTTGTTGTTTCTCAAAGAGTTAACGGCCTCAAAAACTTCCTCGCTGGAGACATATTGTTCAAGAATGGTATTTTCATCCGCTGAAATTTGAGTGGGTCTCATCATTGATAGGTAATGTTGCTGTTGTACGTCATTGGTTTGATGTTTGTGGCCCCAAAGGTTGGTATAATAGTTCTCCACCATGGATAGTACTTCCTCCTCCTCGGTGACCAAGGTGTTATTTGGAGAAATTAACCCTTCTATTGTTGTTTGCTTTGCTCTTTTTTTGATATTCGCATAAAATATTTTCGTTGGCCGTTCATTTTGCTCTAGTGTATCGATTTTCGCCATTAATAGATCTAATTGTTTCTTTTCATCAAGTAGTATTTTCAACTCTGCTTTTAGTTTTTCGATTTTGATGACGTTTTCTTTTAACCCTTCTTTTATGGTAATATCTATTAATTTGCGAATTTGGGAGATATTATTTTTCTTGTCCTTGGTTCTGTTTTTGGCATATGCGATCGAAATTTTTTGAATTTTATGTTTCAGATGATCCCACCAGTCTTGCAAGTTTTCATAGTTTTCTATTTCCGTCAAAGCAAAATCATAAGAGTTTTTTATTATTTTAATATAGATCGGGTCTTGGTAAAGTACAAGGTTGTCCCGCCATGTCCCTTTTCCCCAGCGGATTTTCCTAATTTGTTTCAACTCAATTATAGGGCAAAGCAAGTGGTCAGATATGGTATTCGGTATATGGCCAATGGTTGAGATCAGATGTTCCAAATTGTATGTGTTGTAAATTTGATCAATCCTGCGTCCTTGTGTTCCAGTATAGTAGGTGAATATCTGTTTTTGGGGATATTTTTTTCGAAATGTGTCGTTAATATTATTTGTTCTGATGAAATTTTTAAATATCTTTGCAGACGGGCGAAGCTTGAAGCTACTTATTTTCAGAGTGTCGATCTCTTCCAAAATCAGGTTGAAATCCCCCACTATGATGAAGTCATAGAAGTTACAGTAGTTTTTCAAGACAGTCACCAAACTTTCATAAAAAGCCTTTTTTGGAGGCCCATTTAAAGCGGGGGCGTAAACGTTGAAAATTTTCACTATTTCATTATCGATCTTTATTTCGATACTATCGCATCTATGTTCAATATGAACGGCATATGTTGTTGGCACAATATTATTCTCAAATTTAACCATGATTAATGTTCCCTGCCAAAAATTTGCGTGATAATTTTCGGATTTATCCAATGTATTGAAGTATATATTGTACCCCTGAGAGTTTGCCCAAAGCTCGATCATTTGTTGGTCTACCCTATGCACTTCTTGAATGCACAGTATGTTTGGCTTTTCACGCTCGATAAAGCTTTTTAGGTCGTATAAACGGTGTTGTAGACCGTTGACGTTTATGGATATAACTTTGATGCGCGACATCAATTGCTTCTATGAGTAGATATATATAGTTAGCTAGTTTTGCGGTAGCTAGCGTTTGTGGTGGTTTTAATTATGTATCCAAAATTTCTCAGAGAAGTAATTCAAGTAGAAGGCACTTTATATATTACAAATAAGACAAATTTTCTAACTCACGTATCCGCAGTTGTTGCTTTTTTCTTTTTCCCAGTCTTTTTCCCTTCTAAACTCACCGAGAAGGACGACTCTGATGAGCGCGTATCTTCTCGGCTTCTTTTGTTTGTATAATCCGTAATGTCATAGTTTGAATCAGATAAATCCAAAGGGTTGGGTAATGCTGTATTATTCTCCAAATTGGCCGGTGCAGAAAGAACTTCTTGTGGCGTGTCGCTAAATAGTGATGCGTCGTGTGTTTCAAAGTTATGGACCATTACTTTTACATATGCCTGACCTTTCGGAGGCGGTTGAAACGGGGTGTTTCCTATTGTTGAGGTCTGTTTCAATCTCGATGATCTTCTAATTACTTCGGGTTGTCTTTGCGGCGTTATTAATGGACTTAGTGCGTCCTCGCATTCCGACCATTTGCTAACCCCACTCTCATTTGAGCCTGAGGTTGAAAATTCCTGAATTTCGTCGATGGTGTTCTCCTGATGGGTTTTTATTATGTCTTCCGTTTGTCTTTCTTTGATTGGTGTGTTTTCTTGATTTTCTTTTTCGGGCGCGCTCGGGACGCGTGTAATGATTTCTGGTTGGATTTCGTTTACAGCATCTTGCTGTTCATTGCTGGCTGACCTGGTGTTCTGAGCGGGTACATTTGCAGAGGGGGCTTCTGGTGGTATCGCTTGTGCCTTACGCATCCGCTTTGGTATGGTCCATGTTTTTGCCGCTTCCTGGATGTTTGGGAAGTCTTGTTTTCGTTGATTGCAGAATTTCTGGACATGTCCAGGTTTTTTGCAGTGCCTACAAACTGGGTCGTTTTCACATTGTGTGAATATGTGCCCAGTTTGTAGACACCTTCCGCATGTTGGCGTGTATAGCTCACGCGGTAAAAAGGTCTTGCATGAAACTCCATCGATTTGGATGAAATCCGGAAGTCTTTCTTTCTTGAAATCCTCAACCAGGATAGACGTATAGCCATTATACAAAGCCGTCCCTCGGTGGTAGTTACGGACGGCGCTCCTTATCTTTCCGAAACCCAAGTTATTAACAATTGACGACACTTTCGCGAAGGATGTCTCCCAATTGATCCCCCGGATTGAGATCCTGACTGGCGGCTTGTTGGGTAAGGAAACCTCGATGGCGATGTTTTGGCTTCGAATTTTCCCCCCGGTGCTGCGTAGGAACTCCTCCCGATGGCTTTGACCAGGCGTCTCTACTGCCGCAAAGGAGAGTATCCATACACCTTTTCTGGATTCATATAATCCTTTGAAGTGCTGAACGTAGTCTTTGGTTGTTATGTCATTCTTGAGCAGTTCCAACAAAACTCCGAATTCCAGATTTTGGTCCGTTCTTAAAAACAAGGGAGAGAGGTCTTGCGGTGGCATCACTTGTGTCGTTGGCGGGTGTTGCTGAAGCGGCGGCTGAATAGGTCGTCATCCTTGCTCCGTTATCCGAGGTACTTCCAAAGGCTGTTATAACCCTTTCTAGGTCTTTCTATCCTTTAAATGTCAACACTTCAAAAAAAACTTGCTTGCACTGGTGGAGAGGCCCGATATACAAAGCGAACGGGAAGGGCCTCTCCCAAACTAACTGACTGGAGTGGGGTTTTGAGGCCCAACAACTCCAGTAGTCTGCTGTTGAAGGTAAGTGCGCCGAAACCAGCTTACCTTAATCAAAACAGGTCTCTCCTTACTATACTGTAACTCGCCTATATATACGAGAGCGCAGCGGATGTGCGTTTTTGTATACCCACACAGTTCTTAGCTTTTATAAACCATGTCATATACGAGTCCTTTTTGCTATTTGTGTATTATATCTTATTTACAGATTGTTATGATAAAATGAACATAAACGGCAATTAGATGAGGTAATCTGATAATATGTCAATTAAACACGGATATAATAAGGGAAGTGAGATGGCGATGCACGGCCACTGCCATGGGGTCAAAGTTGAAACAGAAAGCGACGATTCCGTCGTGTCGCCTTCACTTCCCAGCCATAAAAGGGTCAAAGTTGAAAGAGTAAGCGACGATTCTGATGTGACGACTTCGCTTCCCAGTTATTCTACAGTTAGAGTCGAAAGCGGCAGTTTAATTGCGGCGAATTCACTTTACAGTCAGACGGGGGTCAAAGTTGAAACAGAAAGCGACGATTCCGATATGTCGACTTTACTTCCCAGTCACAAAAGAGTCAAAGTTGAAAGGGTAAGCGACGATTCTGATGTGACGACTTCATTTCCCAGTTATTCTACAGTCAGAGTACAAAACGTTTATTCAATTGCAACGAACTCATTTAACATTCAATCAAGGGACGGAGTCGAAAGGGAAAGCAACGATTCCGAGTTGTCGACTTCACTTCCCAATCATAAAAGGGTCAGAGTTGAAAGGGTAAGCGACGATTCTGATGTGACGAATTCATTTCCCAGGTATTCTACAGTCAGAGTACAAAGCGTTTATTCAATTGCGGCGAATACACCTTACAGTCAATCGGGGGTCAAAGTCGAAACAGAAAGCGACGATTCCGATTTGTCGACTTCACTTTACAGCCATTCTAGGGTCAAAGTTGAAAGAGAAAGCGACGATTCACATGCGATGACTTCCCTTGCCAACCATACAAGTGTTCAAAGCAACAGTTCCAATAGGACGACTTTACCTTACAGTCCTTCTAGGTTCAAAGTTGAACGGGAAAGCGACGATTCCGATGGGACGACTTCCTTTCCCAGCCATGAAAGAATCGAAAGTAACGATTCCAATGAGATAACTTTGCTTTACGGCCATGAAAGAGAGAGTGACGAATCAGATGTGATGACTTCAATTCGCAATCGTAAAAGAGTCAGAATTGAAAGCGATGATTCCGACTCGACGACTTCCCTTCCTAGTCGTTCTAGGGTCAAAGTTGAAAGAGAAAGCGATGAATCAAATGCGACGAATCATGTATTGTACAAATGCGAAACTTGCGGAATTGAATTTACGACCAATACTTTGTTGGCTGATCACAAGCTGACTCATTCCCAAAAGCCAACCGAGTTCAGTGTAAAAAATGCGAAGACTAAGACGTCACAAAAACAAGACAATAAAGGCGGGGGCGTGTGCAAAATATGTGGAAAGCAGCTTGAGAGTGCCTGTTCACTAAAAAAACATGTAATGTCACACACGGGGGAAAAACCGTATTCTTGCTCTACGTGTGGAAAGCGATTTCTTACAAAAGATTACGTGAATATACACCAAGTTATACACACCGGAAAACGACCACATTCATGTGATGTTTGCAACAAAACCTTTACCCAAAAAAGTTCTTTAAAAACACATATGAAGATCCACATTCCACATTCAGAATCAAATTACGAATGTGGAATTTGTGGAAAGAAGTTTCGACACAAAACTAGTTTGAAAACCCATTACCTGTCTCACACAGAGGAAAGGCCGTATCCATGTACATTTTGTGAAAAACGTTTCAAGTCAAGTCAAAAACTGAACCAGCACAAGCTTGTCCACACCCCATACTTCGGGACCTGATTCTTCTGATATGCAGATAAACTGGGAAATCTTATCGAAACTAGAACTATTGTATGAAAAAAATAAGGCGGTACTCCCATGATTTTCCTTATTTTAGTTCTATTACGAGTTCGGGGTCTGTATGTGTTAGCCAAGTGAATATACCCCCTGCCCATAGATTTTAGTCCCGTGTTGTAAAATATTCGAACAAAATTAGTTTCTTCCATATTGGTGCACACACTGCTGGAGCGCTAATACTTCTACTTGATGCGACTTCCCTACTAATGAAATTGCATTGTTATCTCTTTTTTTGGACACGTAGTGGACATAACGATCGTTTCAAAATTTTGTTGTTATTGTTATTTCCATTATTATTTGTCTCCATCATTTTTAAAAAATTCGCTTTTCTCTTCGAATACTGGACCAATTGCTTTGAAATTTTCAGTGGTTGAAGATAAAATTTTCCCCCAGAAGGCTATTACTTTTATTCATTTTAAATATTCCTGTTAGCTCTGTGAGGTTTGTTTTTGTTTGCTATGACGTCATTAAACGTTCTACGGATATCGGACGCCATTTTGTGTCCTACTGTACTGCTTCGCTTGGTGTGAATATATTTGTAGACCGTGATCTGACGGTACGGTAAACCGTACTGTACTGCGAACAGACGTGTCCATATATTTGGGCGTAGCTCTCTTGTCTTATATTGTGTGAGCTCGATTTTTTGAATACTCGGGATTCCAATTCATGTAAATCAAATGTTATTTGACATGAAGTAGACCTATGAATCAATTGGCCTAACTGTTATTCTTGTTGGGGTATTACTGTTGCTGTTAAAGAAATACGTTTCTTACTAATAATATTCAAATTTCGAGGTAGAGAAGGCTTTTTCTTTTATTTTGAAACTCCCTCTGATTCACCCAAAATTTCATGTTTTTATTTTTTTTGAAATATGGGAATCATTTATGGTTTTGATTTTCAAATTTATTTCGGGAGAAAAACTGTCGACGAGACGGTTTAATATTAAGGAGAATTACGGCTTTTCGTCCGATTACAAGTCCATGTCGTGTATAGGATTAGTTCAGGGGTGTGCAACCTTTAATACAGGAGTACCAGATAAAAATAACTGGGTGGAACCGCGGGATTCCTAGTGGTTACAGGAAGAAAATTTTTGGGCATTAATCTTATGACACGCGTTGCTCGCTTCGCACAAGATAGCTGTTAGGGCATTGTAACATCATAGGCATAGACGATAAATTGGACTCCGGTATAGGTTTTGCAACGCAAGTTGTCGCAAGAGGGTCGCACATAACAGATTGAACTCAAATAAAAACTCGTTTTGCGTGCCGTACATCATTCAAGATTGGCACTTCTACACAGGACGCACAATTTTTTTCTTGCGGGAAGGTTGCACACCCGTGGATTAGCCAATCATTTGATTCAAGTACATGGATTTGCCGGTGGGATGAGCCGTAAAAGCTTTGATAGTCCAATTCGTGGACAAATTTTAGGTTCGCCTGTAAAATTTGTTCGGAAAGGAGTCTCAATAGTCTCGAGATACATAGACTAATAATCCCGGAACAAAAAAATCATGTTAGGATTAAAGTCTCTCCTTCTGACACAAAACCCCATGGTTGCTGGACGAACGTGGGTAGTTGAACATTCCTTGGTTGTCAAACGATGCTTTTTTGACGCCGATCGCCATTCCTGTGAAAGAAGCCGTAGACCAGTGTTTCCCAACCTTTTTTGGTCGCGGACTATTTTCCCAACGGCGAAAACCTTTGCGGACTCAATGTCCGTTTATCGCAGCCGTATTCTGTGTGAAAAAGCAATAAATCCAAATACAACAATTTCAAAATCGGAAATTTGCCGCAATTACGCGTTCGTTAAGAGATCCTTTTCTGTAGCACAAGATTCAATTCATGACAACAATGAGAATTTAAAATGTCATTCTATCTTAACTTAATTGTGTTCATGGTAACTCGCGGTTGCGTCGACTTACGACAAGATGAACGCAGTACTTCTTTAAAATACCACGGCAATCTGCGAACATACAAATGTAGGAACATATTGCCTGATTACATTTAGTTTTGATACATATCTTTTGCAATCTTGCGAATTTGTTATGGCCGTTAGAAAAATCCTACTATCTGCTATAACTTTCCAAGTACAACTTGATTTAGTATATATTAAGAATATATGTATTTTTGATTTACTACTATACCACAGTAAGTCCCGCGACTTACGACGTTGTTCCGTTCTTGAGACGCGGTGTAACCCGAATTTCAGTGTAAGTAGGAACATTATACATAAATTACTCTATACATATCGTACTGTATTGTAAAGTATGGTACTGTAATAAAATGCACAAATAATGCAAAAAGTACTTTATTAGAGAAACAGAAAACAATTCAATATCGATAATCGTAATAGTTCGCAATTGTCCACGTCATTTACGATGTAAATGACAAAAACCAATGAGCCCAAAGCACTGATTTTCTTGATCACATTGATCCAGTTTAAGGACTTCGATATTACAGTACAGTATTATCTTTTATATTTTCATGGAGTGCGTTCGTAACCTCGAAACAGCGTAAGTCGGGGCCGTCGTAACCCGAGGACTTACTTTATTTAATTGTGATCATTTTAATCTGCGGTTGTGTTGACATAATAAAAGCAATACTGCTCAGAAAATATCATGACAATCCGTGGACACAAAAATGCGTGGTAAAGTGTCTGATTACATTTCGTTTTGATTCGTATTTTTGTGAATTCGACAAATCTGATCCGGTCGTACAACACTTACGGCGCTCCAGTGCCGTACGCACCAATGTGAAGCAGTAAAGCATAGAATCCTAAGGGGAAAATCCCTGGTACGTATACCACGGTAGCACCCGAAATTATGCGATTTGCAATGTCTAAAAAAGCGTTTTTAATCGGTCGCAACACTTACCATAAAAAAAATGTCATCATTGACACTTACCATAAAAAAAAAAAATATTCCCCGTTGGTCGTACTCGCAAGAAACACCCCTTAGGTATGTATCGACGCGTGTGCCGACTCGTGTTTTCGTCGGAAATCCGCAAGTGAGTTGTTAAATCCAATTGTTTGATGAAGCGACGCTAAGGTGAACCGTCGCGTCACCTGTTACCAAATTTTCGAATAGTAAATTTCTATTCTAATAGTTGAATATATGCCCAGTCCTACTCAGTAACCAGTAATTATTGACTGGATTGGTGTTATGAGAATGCACTTGATTTTTATGTTTTATGTGAATTCTAACGTAAATCGTAACTTGTCTGATAGTTAAGTATCGCAAAAACGATTGCGGAACGGAGTGAATTTCTGGCTCGTTGCGGACTCGTTTAAACGCTCCGCAGACTCATGTGAGACCGCGGACTCGGGTTAGGAAACACTGCCGTAGAGTACAGGGCTGCCGTAGACGAAGGATATGCCGGGTATATTTAGTGTATGGCGCTGTAGTTCCACTTGACAGTATGGTTTGCTGCGTCTGGTGGAAACAAAAAGGCTTGATTAGAACATTGATGAGCATAGGGTCGAGTGCAGGATCAATATGGACGTATATTTATTCGCGTTTATTTATATCAGGGGTCACGAAACTACGGCCCGCGGGCCGGATCCGGCCCGCGACGTCATTTTATCCGGCCCGCGGCGTCATTTTATCCGGTCCGCAATAACACACAAAAATGGCTAAATTTTTTTCCAAGGGAGATTTTCACGAGCATCGTCGTCTTTGTTTATTTCGTAACATTGGCCAATCGGCAAGATGCAAAAAAGTGACGTAATGATAGGCCTTTCCGCGTCCGCTCAGACACTTTTGTCACCCTGACAGATTTTCAGTCGTGGTTGTAAACAAAACTTCGTTTTTGCGACTTTGAATGCTACCATAACGTAACGTTTTCTGCGATATACTTGTACACTCGTGGCGCGTGCTTTCGACGAAACTGTTTGTTTTTGTGCTAAAATAAAAAACTGCTCCAGTGGAAAGATCTGAGTAAAAAAAGAAAACAATACCAAGTTTACAATAAACGGTCAAGAAATAACGGAGATATCGGATTTCAGTACCGCCCGACAGGTCAATTTTTTCCATAATGATTGTATTACTTTTTTGATAAGAACTGAACTAAATATGGAAAAATAACACATATCAAAATCACTAATCTTTCGTTGTGCATCACATCTATGGTATATTAAGACTATTTCAGATTTTTATTCTGGCAACGGTCATTGACACCGCCGAAAGATCGTCGCAAATAAACGCTGGAGTGGTGCATGATAGTTTGACAATGGTTCATTGTGGGTAATAATTAACGATGTTCTGATTGTACGAACTTCATAAAAATTGTATCAAGTTAAGAAAGAAATACACACGTCCACATACATTTTATTGGTGTCCATAGACAATATCATTAATTTGCACTACGTATAACTGGAGCGTAATTTTTAAAAGCGTCGAATGTTGGGAAATTTATGCGCTAATGAAAAAAAATCAAATACCAGATAATAGTTGTTTATTTTATCTAAATTATGTCAAAATTTCATAGAATTCCAAGCTACAGCAGGTAGTCGTTTTTATGAGAGGTATTTCAACACGGCGTAACGGTACTTAGCAGACCGTAGTAGTATATTTATATTTACGAGCAGACGTGATGCGTACGTTTTTTGCCGCGGATTTTGTAACATTTCTAATTCATGACAGCAACGTTTTGATAACAGCTAAACTCAGGATAGTTGTCTAGGTATAGAAATCTTGTTAATTTTTTTCCTAGGATGTTCTCGATCTATATTCTGCGATATTCCCAACATTTGTGAATTTATTGTATTGTATTGACAAAAATATTCATCCGGCCCGTTTCAACACAATTTGAGTCATACCCGGCCCGCGGTCAAAAAAGTTTGGTGACCCCTGATTTATATGATAGATAGATGAACAGCTAGGGCGAGCTGTTGGTGTATCAGTCGGCAACTTATTTAGAGTGATTGGGCAAAAGTTATCAATGGTTTACAAAAAGAAAACTTCGAATACCGATGGAACGAAAACAAACAATAATTAATATATTTAAGTTAAGAATAGATTTATAATAGATATTGACTAACTTTTGGCTCAAGTCAGATATAAAACTTGAGGATAGATTAATTGACTCGCCTCACTTCTGATTACTCTGTGTGGTTTCGCAGGTTTAAATTCCATGCGGGGATGATTATGTGCGAGAAGAATGCTGGACACCTCGTCGCTGTAGAGTGGTTCACGTAACTGTTGGTCAGTTATGGCTTCTCCCACCCTCAAGTCCATGCTTCCGAAAACAAATAACTGGCTAACTGATCCCACTCCCGACATGGAATGGTAAGAAACAGCGTGATTCGCCATATGATTAAGCCGTCTTATCGGTTCCCTCAACCGGGATAATTATGTAAATCCTATCCTAATCGTGAAATAGGATTCATTATATTTTTTAGAACAGGATACATGTAAAACTTTATGCAAATGGTTGGAGTAAGCATATAAAATAAGATTTATAGTATGTTTTGGGTTAGATTGAATATTCCAGACATATGAAATGGGGAATTTATAAATATTCTGGGTTGGGATCATAGACGTAACCAACATTTTTTTGAAGAGCAATTTTGCGGTATTTGCAGCGAGACAGAAATTCTCGCGCACTTCCCAACACCATTTTATTCTTGAACGATTCACTGGTGACTGACTTTTCCTGGCCTCCTATCAATAATCCTTTCACCAAATGAACCAACTGAGATAGATAAAATGGCGATTGTATCACTTGGATAATTCGACAGCAAAGTAAGTCTATGGAGATATTTTTCAAGATATTGTTAGATACCAGTTGCTGCTTTTATTTGGCCATGTCAGAGCAAAAGTGCACCAGTAAACGTTGTATTAGGTTATTATAGAAAAGAAAATGTAGCATAATATCTTACGCCTTTTCCCGAATATGGCGAACCATGACCCCTAGTCAGATTACCAGTCCATGTCGGGTATGAAATTAGTCAGTTGGTCAGGCAAAGTGAGGAAATAACAATATCTACTAAGTAAATAGCAACAAGATATGCTGAAATACAAAAGAATTATTCAAATTAGGACAGAGATTGAACAATACACGTTGATAATAGGTTCAATGGCGTCGATTGTTACTAATGTCCGAAGCGTAAGGTTAAGATAATCTTTTAATAATTACTAGCGAAAGAAACTGTAAGAATGCCTGCGGGGCTAAGTGAGATAGTATATCCCAGCTAATTATCGTTTCTTAACGGATTTCGACTGAAGTTACTATAAATGTATGTCAGTTGTAGATTGCTGTACGGCATTCAGTGTATTTCTACCTAGATTATTTTATTTTCAGGCTACGCTTATGAATATAGCACAATCTGAGTTAGCAAAATAGTATAATTTGTCGATTATCAAATTTGTATGCAGACAAAGTTTATTAGAGCATGATATGAATCGTTGTTCACAATATAGATAATTCATGAGTTTGTTTGCACCTTCGCAAAAATTATTTAGAGCTGTTATATAATGCTATCGTATTTTTAGATTAGATATAACACCTTGATAATTATTCTAACTATATATCTACATAAGTTTCAAATTCAGATATTTATTTTCGTCGTGCATGAAATATTGTACTATTAAACAAAGAACACAAAAAATAAATATAGTTAAAACAAAGATAAAGACAATATTTCGATTGCAATTGACGAGGAGCCGCGAAATTTCTTTACCATATCACACCCTGATGAGGTTTTCTGCATGGAAATTCGAAACGACAAATTACATCGTTTTGCTAACATCGGTTTTGCTTTTTTTATTCTCATCAGCCACTTATTTATCAACTAAGAAGCTAATCATAGGCGAAAGTGGAGTAACTGAACAATCATACGCGAACGAGATAGTGAAAAATAACAAATGTCTGAAAAATATTATATTCCCTTTCGAGCCATATCCGGAGTTACTTTGGTTTAAAATTTTTTAGGTAGATAATGACAGTTCAGTACATATTGCAGTAAAGATAAACAAAAGAGATAGCGATGAGAGACCGCCGACTTATCGATCTAGCGGCATGTATCCTTCGCTTTGACTCAATAGCGTGTCCCATCAGTAATTAATTAATAACTCGCTAATTATGCGACATAATTCATTCAAAATCAATATGCTTTTAGTCCGAAATATAATTAATGCACATGCAAAATTTGGAGCAGATTCAGCCTTGCTTTCGTGAGATATCGCGTGTCTACTCAGACAGACAAACAAACAAACAGACAAATATCCATCAACATACTTACCGATCAAAATCGATGATTAACAATAATCATGAAATATAATCAGAAGGGGCGGCAAGATTCCAAGGTCAACCCTTTTTTTGCCAACTGACTCTTCTTACGCGGCCTCTCCTTACAATGTTGTAACTTGCCTATATATACGAGAGCGCAGTGGAGGTGCGTTTCCGTATACTCACACAGTTCTTAGCTTTTATAAACCAAGTCCCATACGAGTTCATTTTGCTATTTGTGTATAATATTTTTCATTTACAGATTGTTATGATAAAATGAGCTTAAACAATAATTAGATGAATCAATCTGATAATATGTCAATTAAACACGGATATAATAAGGGAAGTGAGATGACGACACACGGCCACACTGGGGTAAAAGTTGAAACAGAAAGCGACGATTCCTATTTGTCGACTTCACTTCCCAGCCTTAAAAGGGTCAAAGTTGAAAGGGTAAGGGACGATTCTGAAGGGACGAATTCATTTCCCAGTTATTCTACAGTCAGCATCCAAAGCGTTTATTCAATTGCGGCGAATTCACTTAACAGTCAATCAGGGGCCGGAGTCGAAAGGGTAAGCGACGATTCCGATGTGGCGAGTTCATTTTACAGTCATTCTAAGGTCAAAGTTGAAAGGGAAAGCGACGATTCCGATGGGGCGAGTACATTTAACAGCCATTCTAGAGCCAGATTCGAAGAGCAAAGCGACGATTCCCGTGTGGCGAATTCAAATAACAGATATTCTAGGGTCAAAGTTGAAAGGGAAAGCGACGATTCACATGTGTTGACTTCCCTTGCCAACCATAGAAGAGTTGAAAGCAACAATTCCAACGGGACGACTTCACTCTTCAGTCATTCTAGGATCAATGTTGAAGGGGAAAGCGACGATTCCAATGGGACGACTTTGCTTCCCATCCACGAAAGAGGCGAAAGTAACGAATCCAATGGGACGACTTCGCTTTATGGTCTTGAAAAAGAGAGTGACGAATCAGATGTAATGACTTCAATTCGCAATCGCAAAAGAGTCAGAATTGAAAGCGATGATTCCGACTCGACGACTTCACTTCCTAGTCATTCTAGGGTCAAAGTTGAAAGAGAAAGCGACGATTCCGACCCGACGACTTCACTTCCTAGTCATTCTAGGGTCAAAGTTGAAAGAGAAAGCGACGATTCCGACTCGACGACTTCACTTCCTAGTCATTCTAGGGTCAAAGTTGAAAGAGAAAGCGACGATTCCTACCCGACGACTACACTTCCTAGTCATTCTAGGATCGAAGTTGAAGGGGAAAGCGACGATTCCGATGGGACGACTTTGCTTCCCAGCCATGAAAGAGGCGAAAGTAACGAATCTAATGGGACGACTTCGCTTCACGACTTTGGAAGAGAGAGTGGCGAATCAGATGTAATGACTTCAATTCGCAATCGTAAAAGAGTCAGAATTGAAAGCGATGAAAGAGAGAGCGACGATTCCAAAACGACAGCTCATGCATCGTACAAATGCGAAACTTGTGGAACGGATTTCACAACCAGGAATTTGTTGGCTGACCACATGTTGACTCATTCCAGAAAGCCAACCGAGTTCGGTGTAAAAAATGCGAAGACTAAGACGTCACAAAAACAAGACAATAAAGGCGGGGGCGTGTGCAAAATATGTGGAAAGCAGCTTAAGAGTGCATGTTCACTAAAAAAACATGTAATGTCACACAAAGAGGAAAAACCGTATTCTTGCTCTACGTGTGGAAAGCGATTTCTTACGAAGGCATACGTGGATCGACACGAACTTATACACACAGGAAAACGACCACATTCATGTAATATTTGTCACAGAGCGTTTAACCAGAAAAGTTCTTTAAAAACGCATATGAAGATCCACATTCCACATTCAGAATCAAATTACGAATGTGGAATTTGTGGAAAGAAGTTTCGACACAAAACTAGTTTAAAACCCCATTACCTGTCTCACACAGAGGAAAGACCGTATCAATGTACATTTTGTGAAAAACGTTTCAAGTCGACCTATCAACTGAACAAGCACAAACTTGTCCACACCCCATACTTCGGGACCTGATCTGCAGATAAACTGGGAAAGTATTTCGAATCTAGAACCATTGTTTGGAAAAAATAATTCTACTTGGTGCGCTGCTCAATAACCAACATTGGTTCCACGCGCTTCCATACTCAGAGAAATAGTATTATTATCTCATTTTTTTATTTCTTTTGGATTCGTTATTCACCTGGAAGTTTTGTGCGATGACGCCATCAGAATTTGAAATGAACATAATCTCGATTGCGAAAAAATTATATATGCAGACAAGATTACAATTTCCGTTTGATATGCCTTTGTTTTAAACAAGACGACCAATATTGCGGCGTATTAACTTACTTACAAGAATACGATATGTAATTTGCTCCTATATCTCTGTAAAAATATTTATACATTATCGGACTTTGTTGGAAACGAAATGGAAATAGATGGATCGTTTTATTATTATGTTGTTGTGAAAGAATCGTTTATTTCCTCAAATACTGGACCAATTGTTTTGAAATTTTCAGTGGTCAAAAAATATCGTTGTTGTCGCTTAAAGAATATTACTTTAGAATCAAAAATTCAATTCAATTTGACGGAAATTATTCCTCCTGGGACACGAATCAATTCTCTATTGTAAACTGTTAATGAACAATACGGAAAATACTAGAACATTGCAAATTGAACTGCCTTTCCTTTGTCCGTTGGATATGTCTTTCTATTATTATCAGAGTCATAAGTAAGAATAATATAATTTCCACAAAATCTTCGTTCGATTAAGTTTTGTCCGAAAAGGTTAAACGAATGCTTACAAATAAATAAATTTGCGATTTCGTGAAGGGACTATGTTATTCTTATTTATTACTTATCGAACACTTGCATTTAAAAATACCGAAGAAAACTATCGTTCGCTTTTTACCATCTGCGCATGTATTTCTAATGGATAAGCGTGTTAGCAACCACCTGCATATAGGATGAGAAAATTGTCAAATTAATTATGCGAATGAAAGAAGTCGACAAAGAGGCTCAACAATAAAGCACATCACGACTTTTCGTCCTGTTACTAGTTCATGTCGGGTATCGGATTAGTCAACTATATGATACAGGTGCAATGATTTGATGGTGGGGTAAGCCATAAAAGCTTTGATAGTTAAATTCGTGAATGAGTTTGCGTGTAATATATTCTCGCAAACAAGACACAAATGTCTCTAGAGTCTAGACTCTAGATACATAAGACTCAAAATCTCGGAACAAAAAAATTATATTAGGATTAAAGTCTTTCTTTCTGACACAGAACCCCATGGTTGCTGGACGAACTTGGGTAGAACATTCCTTGGTTGCCAGCCGATGGATTTCCTACGCCGATCCCCATTCCAGTGTAAGATGGGTAGGAAGAAGGGTAAGGAAATCCTGGGTAATATTTAGTGTATGAAGCGGTGGTTCCACTTGACAGTATGGTTTGCTTCGTCTGGTGGAAACAAAAAAGGCTTGATTAGAACATTGACGTAACTAGTGTCGAGCGTGGGGCGTGGCGGTAATAGTCAATACGGGCGTCTATTTATTTCGGGGGGTTATATAATAGACGAACAGTTAGGGCGAGCCGATGGTGTTTTAGTCGGCAACTTAATTAGTGGAATTGGGCAAAAGTTATCCAATGGTTTACAAAAAAAAACTTTGAATACCGACCGAACGAAAAAAAAAAAAAATCGACAATATATATTTAGGCTAGGAATAGATTTATATTAGATATTGACCAACTTTTGGGTCAAGTCAGATATAAAATTTGAGATTAGAATAATCATGAAGTTAGGATTCCTTGTACGCTTTTTTCGTACATAAACCCTTCAGACAAAAAAAAGATTGAGCATATAAAGTGAGATTCACTATATGTTCTGTGTCAGGATAGATATACACAGCTTCATACAAAAGGTTGGAGTAAGCATATAAAATAGGATTCATGGTATGTTCTGGGTTATATTGAATATGAAATTCCTGACAAGATTAAACATATGAAGTGGGGAGTTCATAAATCTTTTGGGTTGGGAACACAGGCGTAACTAACCTTTTTTTCGAAAAACAATTTTGCGGCATTTGCAGTGAGACAGAAATTCTCATACACCTTCCAATACCATTGAATACGGGAGACTGGCTTGATATCAATAATCCTTTCACCAAATGAACCAATCGGGATAGATAAAATGCCGCTTGTATAACTTGGATAATTCGACAGCCAAGTAAGTCTATGGAGATTCTGTGTCTGCCTTTCTGCTTTTATCTAGCCTTGTTCGGGTAAAAGGCACGAGTAAGCGTCGTATTACGTCATTGTGGAAAAAAATAAAGCCCCCCCAATAATTACGCTCTTGGTTGGGATTAATATAAAAATTTTAGGCAAATTATTGCGCATATGATCAAAATAAAGTGAGAATCCTATCATGTTTTCGTTAAAACTTTAGAGCTTTAGAAAAATGACTGAATACGCCAGGGATTGAGATTTATCGTAACCCCGTGTATTTGGTCACTAGTTTTTTTAAATTTCAAGAACTGCATGTAAGTCAAAAAACTTTCTATTCACCGGATGGTCGAATGTCATAGCCAACCATAAGGATGCGTATGAAGACGGCATTACTGTTCGAACATATTCAAAAACAATATCGTAATGTTGAGAACCGATTATGTCTGCTGGTTTTGCCGACATTTTTCTACATATTGCAACAGCTTGATCGTAGTAGACATCTCTTGCAGTGTTTAATGAAGCTATGTAACACCACCCCTCCCATGATATATCACGTCGTCACAAGTTCCTGCAAAAACAAGTAGGGGAGTATTCAAATATATGGACACAAACCAAACATACGCGTTATAATGACGCGTGCGTTGTCTCTACTTGTTTCAAATAAGAAAGTAATGTTCAACTCTTTGGATAAGAAGGATCCCTGTAGGTTCTTATAATGTCGGGTTTATCTAATTTAATTTTTAATTATGCTCGCTCCCAAATTTACTCAATATTGTTTTTTGTTCCTATTTTGCGTTCACTTAATGTTCCGTTGGAAGAAGGCCGAAATATTTGAATTATTGTTATTACCCAGAAAATCTTCTCGTCCAATTCATCAAATTTTGCCACATTCGTTCTTCTAATTCCCTAATTCTTGAATCCACTGACTTTTCCACTGTAAAAAAACAGACGTTTCAATTCATTCATAATGTGTTTCCACCCCCACCCCCCCCAAATCGTAAAGTGCAATAAAACTGCACTCCCCCCGAAGTATGTGAACCAATATGGCGGACACCGGAACGTAGTATGTGTAGCAGGTTGGGGTTAGGCCATAATTATATTCAAATTTTCCCTATTTTATTATATTGCGAGCTCGGGGACTAGCCAATTGACTCCCGTAGTATTTGTACCTGAAATTATGGCCTAACCCTAACCTGGTACCAGTGGCGGCGCGTGGTCATTTTGACAACCGGGGCAAGCTACTGCGGGACCAAGTCACCCCCATCTACGGGGACAGGATGAGCGCTGTAAGTTCTCCCATCATTTTATGAGTATAAAAACCATTCCATCGGTAACAACCAATCGGCAAAAGCGACAATTTTTAACGATAAGAAAGTGTCTTTAAAACCGGTCCAAGTCAAGGGATTAATAAATATAGACATAGTTTATTTTGAAACCTCTTTCAAAAGGAAAGGCAATATTTACCCAGATAAATACAATGACATATTAACAGAAACTTCGGGAAAGCAGACAAAACCTAAAATAAGGTTTAAAACGTTACTATGAAGAAAGGAAAGTTAATGCAAAGATAAGGACATGCGTCGCTCACTCATAGATATATATGCTGCTAGACTTCTACTGCTTGAACATATATGCAACACGCCGCGGTTTCTTGGAAGCAAAATGCTCAATAACGCGCTGATTAAAGTCATGCATCCCAGAAATAACGTCTCTGTGAATGGATAAAACTAATGGACTAAAGGTCTCTAACTGATTCAAATAGCGAAACAAGCGACAAAAACGAAGGCGAGGAAACTATCAACTCTTCAAGCAACCAACGAACGAGGAAGAATGCGTGAATATGTCAACACGTTGTTGTAAGAAACGTCGGCATTGTGTCGTCATAATTTCGGGGCTAGCCCCGATCGGCCCCGATGATTTAGTAAAAGAAACAGAAAACAAACGAGACAAACGCGGCGAGTGGAAGATAAAAGAGAGAATACGATATACAATGAGCAACCGGGGCAAAATCGGCGTCGCCCCGTCGACGTTCGGCGAAGGCTTTGCGAGCGAAAAATCAACCATGTCGTGAGAATATGGCTAGTGTAGACAGTCTGTGCAACCGATATTGAGGTATTTTTCGCATATTTTCGCATACGGACAACTTCGAATATTTTTTGCGAACTTTTTGAATGACACACTCTAAATGTCGTTCGTGTTGGGCGTAAAATTACATTGCTACCTTTTTTAAGTTAGCATATTTGGATCTCTCAGGAATCTTAGCGCTTTTCTCAACTTCAATGTCTCGACGTTTCTCAAACCAATAAAATAGTGACATCATTCGAGATTCGTGATCCCGGTTTATTTTATATATACCGTGTTTCCCAGAAAATAAGACCTCCTCTGAATTTTAAAAATGATTATAATATAAGCCCTCTCTTGAACATAAGGCCTAGTCAATAATGCGATTTTTTTACCTAGTCGATAGCAAGAAATCTCTCCTATACGTTTCAAATGATTGACAATTTTTGTTTTGCAGTTATTTTGAATAAAAACGTGTTATTTATATGTAAATGGATATCGGTTTTCCCCAACTTGCTATACAGACTAAGCCAGACAGGGCCATGACAGTGTTTGCATAGGCCATGCTTTTTTTTCAAGGAATTACGTCATGTATGAATTTCCCGCGCAAACAAGAAAGAAATTGTCACGTGTCACTAGAACGAATTGCACGATGCTCTTCTTTCTTTGAGCAAACAAGCACTGGAATTTTTATTAATGGCATTACGCATTATCTCGCCATAACTTAAAAGTAAGAAGGGGTAATCCAATAATACATTTATTTTTACCACACGTATAGTTTAAATTTGGTGAACCTGGCATTGCCAAGAGTAGATCTGAAAAATCATTTAAATTTAAAGCATGGTGTATGAAAGTGCAAAATCAATATTGCTTTTGATACTAACGAGCTCAATTATACCTGATTTCTAAATCGACTGGTTGTCCAAAAGGTCACATGATTTTTTATTGAAAACAAATTCGCGGTCGAGTCGAGAAAATTAGCCAAAACCGGAAGACCTAGCTGCTGATGACATCCCAGCTTATTTTCCGTTTCCCTTTTACTGCCCCTCGTTATCTCTCCTTTTGTCATAATACCACTGTTCTGTTATTTTACCGTGGTTGTTAGACCAGTATGCCCAATTAGGCAACTCGACACTCAAAATTGGCAAAAGCAGCCGACACAAATAAAATTCAGCCAAGCCCGAGATTGCACACGTAAGCACGTATTGTTGTGAGCAGCTTCTTCCAAAATGAATTACACAAAGCATAAACTTTAAACTCGCTCATCAGATCGTCATTTGAACGACCTACTGCAGATATCAAATTCCTGCATGTTCTGTATTAACTTACCTTCACCCATAAGTTTACAAATTACCCTAATAAATCGTACCTTATTAGAGTAACTGGGCTCCATTAAGCAGTTTATATTTTGGAAATCAAATTCAATATGTGGCGAATTTCGGTCAGTTGAAAGAACCGTATACCATAGTTTTCGCTTTGATAATAAAACATGTAAATATTGTATATAGTAAACAAACATGAGAGGTATTAATAGATTGACACCGAACCTGTTATTTATTTTTTTATGCTTATTGAATTGGGTGGCAACTGACTCTGATGACCTCCAAAGGTCGTATCGTTGCCTCCCAGTCATGTACCGAAAACATTTTTTTAATTTTGTTATGTATATATGTATGTATGTATATATTGTTTTCTTGGTTTGACAAAATGAAATAAACTCTCTCTCTCATATCATCAACAAAGTTACCAGTTGATTCTA